TCAGCGCTGTCGGCGGGGAGCGAGCGCCACGTCAGGTGGGCTGGGCTCACGATCGATTAACGACGGACGCGTCCGAACTGAACGCTACGGAGACGCTGCGACGTACCTCCTGACAACAAATCCAAATGGTCGGGTCCGGGAAAGAGATGGATGAACGCGAGAGCAATCATGGGTTTTGATGCAATTAGGCGTCGGAGATCCTTCCCAAGCAACATGTGGTTGGTGCCTTAGGAGTAAGGCGAACATTCGAGCACGCATGTCTTCCGTCTCTGACATACAGAACGACGGACATATTTCGCGTCATATCCGCGTCAGTACGTAACAATTATAGCCGCAGAGGGTTTCGCAAAACTTTGAACGCACACCTCCCATTATTTAAGTGAGCTGAGTCCAGGTTCATGCCAATCTTCCAGACAAATCTCAATAAATCATTGCGAAGCAGAAGACGCCTGCACTCTGCCGGCACACGTACTAGCGTTGCCCGAGCTGGGATCCTCTTCCTGGAGCACACCGCTCGTCTGCCACGAATGCAGCGTGCTCATGCCGAACCGGGGCACCTGGCGAACCGGGGTCTGCTCAGACCGGCCTCAGACGCGGCCGCACGTGCCCCAACCGTTCACAAACTCTAACGACGGCCTCTTCAAAAGCCATGCGGGACGGGGTATCTCATCGCGCGTCAGCATCCAACACGGCGCTAATATAATGCCAAGAAGCCTTGATATCGTAACCCAAGCTGAGTACATGTGCATTTCATCCCCAGCGCGACGACGGTGTGGCCAACTCTATGGGCTAAGTGGCTGGTTAGTGAACATTATTCAAGTCAGGAGCAAAGATGGCGATTTTTAGCAAGCCATTTTCGATTGAACTTTCCTAAGTCATGGATAACGTCGTATCGTTGAAACAAATTTTCAATATAATAATCACACAAAACAAACACATCTCAATGCATACAACGTACAGGCAAACGCCAAGTTAACTCTATAACTGTCACACATCCCAATGCATATAACGTGTAGGTAAACGCCAGGTTAACTATAACTGTCACCCACCGATTCTGAGCTCGAAGCATCGCCCAGAGCTCCCATCGGATAGCTACCAGCCTTCAAAAATTGCGACATGTTGACGGTATCATCGAAACCAGGTGCCCTGAAATGAATCAAACGAAACAGCTACACTCCACGTGATGTCAATCCCATCACCCCGCCCACAATACTATCGCAACAAATGGGTGAGGTCAGTCAGAGGACATGGCATGAAACCCGCCCGTTATCCACTGACGGTCCATATGCATATGTCTAACCGACGACGGTGATTTTGAGTGTTGACGCAGCACACAGACACGATACCCGTTTTTCTTTGGCTGGCTGGTTTGCTGCGTGGCCTTTCGAACGCTGCCGACCACACGGCCATACAACGAAAGCTTTAACGTTTCTCAACAGATCGCAGTGATACAAACTGTTTGGACAGAACGCTGACAAACAGCACACCCTACTGTTACAACCCAACTTTGAGACAGGTGGCGTTTTTCCCCACATTGGCGTCTCTCACCGGATCTTCGCTTGCGAATCATATGTGCCAGAAGAGATGGAGAATTCCACGACAGGCATGCCGTTTTGGTCGATACATTTCTCAGCCTCCACAAGCTGCGCTTCAAAAGCTGCTCCTGTTGGGGCAGATGCACGCACAAGTTAGTCTTGCAAGATGACTGACATTCAGTTGCTTCAGTATTCTAGCCACAGATATGCGGACCATATTCACACCAGTTCCGGGAAACCTCCAAAGAGATAGCGCTCAATATGCGACTTATCTTTGTGTGTTATGTCAAACGTTAAAACGCTGGCGCCACAATTAAACACTCCCATCTTTGCCGATGTGCTATGCCAGACAAGAAATGGTCCCATACATAAATGGATACATTTTGAAGACAACTACATTATATCGAAAGCGAAGCACAGAATGATCAACTAACCGCCATCCGTGAAACAGCCGTCATCGAATTCCTTCTGGAACTCTTCCATCTCACCAAAGCATCCACTTCCAAATCTGAAATTAGAGGAACTGAATAACCAAATAAAAAAGCAATGGCTTAGTTGGTTAGCACATGCTGCATTTTCTGGACAACTGCATTTCCAGCCATGCGAGTCCGAATTTATGATGACAAAAAGGAGTATGTTACAGATAACCACAATTCCGAGCAGGTAACTAGGGAACAGATTTGGACATTTTCAATTAATCCACGATGTGCATTATCTGAAACACTCGTAAGCGAAAACAATGTGCCAAAATAGATTTCTGGCCGCGCGCAAGGGTCTCCCATTTTGGAAGATCACACTTAAGCCTGTGCAAAAAAAAACATGGACCGAGATGGCAATTTTCCTCACCATTACAATACACGGAACCTTCAGGTCAAGCCGCGAAACCGCAAAAACATGAAATTCAACGAAAGAAAACCAACCAAAGCGCCCACAAAGTCCAGCCAAGCTGAGGTCGCTATCTGTGTCCTGTCCTATGCACCCAGTTAACTTAGTATCTGTTAGCGGAAAATCTCAGGCTGTGGCCATTCAGCCCTCCTGTACCTTAACCATCGTTCCAGAGAGTAAAGGTATGTGCAAGTCCATCATTAACCAGCGTTCCAAGCACAGTTTGTTAATAACTGCCACGTTCATCACGGCCCTTTCCTAGCATCCACACTGTTCTCTGCATACGTCATGCTTTGGGGCAGAAGCATTAACAGCGACCGAAATATATAGACATGAGAAAAAATACCACTTAAACCGAAAAACGGTTTGCCGCTGTTGAGCTAACGAACATCGACATATCAATGTCATGACCCATAACGTTCATTCTTACACATTTCGGGAGCACCGCTTCGATTACGATACTTCTAAAATTAACCAATTAGCCTTACATAATTATCTAAAATCAATGACAACCAGCGCGCAACGGATCAAAAACCAATGTGCCACAGCTGACTGGCCCTGCACAGACGGCTGAATACGCCAATCCCACTAGGTTGTACAAACGGATTACCTAAGTTTAGCTTGCATTCGGCAGCCATGGGCACATTGAGCGGACATCCCCGCCCAAGCAATGGTAGGTCGTCTAATATTTGGAGATCCGTTCCTGACATACCAGCCACTTCAGTCCAAACAAGTAAACATCGCGAACGGAAAATGGTACCACGACATAGCCCACCTCAGATTATATTTTGCAACATCTCGTTACGCATATGCAATGCGCGGCTGCCGTATATCAAGCGACATGCATAAATATCTTCATTCGTTCAAGAAGCCGCCCACGCTTTTCTTCTTTGAGAAGGAGAAGTGCAGGAGCGGCGCCACCAGCTTTTTCAGGAGGGCCAGGCAGTTCCAGGGGCTTGTAAGGATGTCTGGGGTCTTCTATACTAACCGCAATCCGTACTTTCCCTCGGATTTCGCCTACTTTAAAAAATCTCTTATGTAAGCGATACAATTGGACAAAACACCCTCCCGGCCCCGTGGGATCTCCAGTATTTGTAATTAGGGCCTCCTCTCGGTCTGACAGGGCTTCCTCAGTTTTTTTTTTGTGGAACCCACTTCGAATTATCTGGGGCTTCCTATCGGCCAAGCGTGCCGATTTGGCCATCTGGGCTTGCTTCTGCAGCTGGGCCTTTAGGACCCTCCTCTTGATCTGTTTCGGCCGTCTGGGACCTCCTGTAGGCATGATGGGCCCGCTGAAACTTCAAGAGGGGTTGCGTAATCATGTTTGACCCCTTACCCAGTGCCGCGGGGGGCTGACATCCTCCCCACGGATGGCATAGTCCCCACAGAACCGTCGTAAGTCCCGGACTGCCGACATACTCCGCGTTGCCGCTGCAACTGTGCCATCGGCGCTGCGTCTTCAGGCCGACACGGCAACAGGCGCACTCGTCGCGCCGTGGTCAAAAGGAGCGCCGGAGGTCGACACCAACCGATCACGTGACCTGTGGCGGCCAACGCAAGGCCGCCACGACGCCGGCGGCCTCACGGTAAAGCCGTGTCGGGAACAGGAGACTGGAGCACGGAGAATGGGTGCGCGGGGACGACTTAGCGCCAGCATGGAGCAGTCTGCTACGAAATGTAGTCTGTGACAGCCTGCTTCCGTGACCTGACCTGCCGCGCCTCAGGTTGGTTTGTAAACTAACCGGGAAGTGCGTAACCAACGAGCAACTGTGAAACGCTACGTCTGTACGGATCACTTGTGAAATATGACGTGTATCCGATTGTTCCGAATCGGACGCTGATACCAACAGGCCGGCCGTGGTCATAGCTTTCGGGTGGTCATTTCGGAGCACGCTGATATTCTAGACGACCATGTCCAGCCAACGTATGAACCATTGCAGTCAGCACCGCTGTCGGCAGGCAACAGCGTTGAAGTCGGCACAAATTCAGGCACGCTCAAATGGATCATTCTTGCAGGAACAGATAATTTTCTGGCCGTAGTATCGAAATATCGTGACTTATATTCACACGGTGCATACTTGGTCCACGCCCGACATATCATGTATGTCAGGTGGTTTGCAGTGAACCACATGTCACAATTGATCTGTAGGACGCGGCAAAAACAACGCTTTCCAAGCTGACTGCTGCAAACGGCGCTGTCGTGGAAAAGATGGAACCCGCCTGGATCAAACATGACCTATGATATGTGTTAAGTGGAAGCATCTTACATATACCCACGCTGGATGTATCGGTCCCAGCTGATGCTTCGAAGCTCACAGCCCATCGAAACGTCTGTTCTGGTGAACGCGCCGCAGCAATAGCGCTCAGCGTTCACCAGGTAACTGGAGCCCCACAGTCAACCAAACCCCCTACCCGCGGTCATGCACGGACAAAGGCAGCATGCAACCATGGGGGTCAGGAGGCGTCGCACGGACAGCCGACTGAGCCCCCTTCCCCACCCCAACCACACGGCACCGGCTCCGGCCACCCGTGCCCTTGCACGGTTGGCCGGAGGGGAAGGCAAGGCGTCAGCGCGCGCGCCTACCCGTCGCTGGTAGTGCCGTCAGCGTCCAGTGACCCGGACGAGGCTCCGATCGAGGTGGAGCGGGCCGAGATCTGACGGCCGCTGATGTCAACCTGTCCGGTACACAGGGCAGCTGTCAGTACCGCCCAGCACACCGGGCAGAGGTCAGCACTGTCCGGCACGCCGGGCAGAGTTCAGCACCGTCCGACACATCGGGCAGAGCTCAGCGCTGTCCGATACATCGGGCAGAGGTCAGCACTGTCCGGCACACCGGGCAGAGGTCAGCACCGCCCGGCACAGGGCAGAGCTCAGCACTGTCCGATACGTCGGGCAGAGGCCAGCACTGTCTGGCACACAGGGCAGAGGTCAGCACTGTCCGGCACGCCGGGCAGAGGTCAGCACCGTCCGGCACACGGGGCAGAGGTCAGCACTTCCCCGCACATCCGGCGGTGGTCACCACTGCTCAGCGCATCGGCAACACACCGGTGTCACGCGACAGGAAGAGCTAACACTGCGTCGACACCTTTTTCTTGGGAAGGGGGAGGGGGAATTTACAGCAAACTTGCGACAGTCAAAAGAGGCAGTCTGTCTAAACCAGCAACATTTTTGCGCCTACTTTCCACGAAGGCATTGAGTACGAGACAACTATAGGCCACAATAAACTGCTCCAAACCTGTTCTTCTGCTTCTCTATATCTAAGACATCTACATGTGGCAAGAGGCAGGAAATGGTCACCGTTAATTCAAAGTTGTTCTTTTCGTGCTGTTTACTGCACTTGGACACAATAAAATGAACATTACAACAGACTGTCTTAGCACACCACCAACATCAGAACAGCTCACCACACCCGCTGCATTAAGCCTGCGCGAGACGAACCGAGACGCGCGGAAGGCGCTCAGACGGCACCCACCAGCGGCGCCCAGCCGGTGGCCGCGGCCGTCCGCCGGCCCGGGCCGGCGCGTACCTCGGCGGTCGTGCCGCGCCGCTCCAGCGGCTGGTCGACGCCGCCGACGCCGCCGCCGCCGTCGGGGGCCAACAGCGCCAGGCTGAGGCGGAACGAGGCGGCGGTGAGGGGTCCGGTCACCGCCGGCGATGACGGCCGCCCGGACGTGGCGGCGGGCCAGAACGGAGCGGGGGCGGGAGCGGGGCCGGGGGCGGAGAGCGGAGCGAAGGGAATAACGTCCGGCGCTGAGATCAGAACGGCGGGCATGAGATCCACACTGAAACAGAAACGGCGCCCGTACAGGCCACACAGAACGCTTACGGGAAAACGTCCTCAGGCACCAAGCGCTTCGGACACAACGCAAGTAGCAGGCACCGCAGCAAAACACGTGCTGATGAATGCACGCATGCCTAGTGTGGCATAGATTCACCTGTTTTGGGGTGGGGGTGGGGGAAACACCACGCGCGACGTTTTACTGTGATACGACAAGCACGGGAGTGCACCACGCCCCTCCCCAAACGAAACTCGCAAAACGCAACGCGTCCTAAACCATGACAACACTAGCTTATTGAGCGTAGGCGCGACGCCCATGACGCGTGACTGCGCGAACACGTGCCCCACGATGTGACGTCAGACGACGGAGAGCGCCGCGGCGGCGGGGTCGCCCTCCACCGACCTGTCCTCGTGGCTGGTGTCCGACTCGGCGCCAGGCGCCACCTCCCTCTCCGGCAGCCCGTGGCGCAAGTAGCGCGAGTCCAGACCGCCGGCCGACCCCTCCTCCTCATCGTCCCCCGCGCCACGCTCCCGGCCGTCCTCCTCTGCCGGATCCTCGTCCTCGCCGCTCTCGTACGACCCGTACTCTGCAATGACCCGGGCGTCGCTGAGGACGGCGGACAGCAGCCTCCCGCTGCGGGAGTGACTGCAAACGCGCATCCCCACCACAGGCGGGTGTGATGGGCACTGCTAACCAGGGGGCTGCCGATAGAGGCTGGTTTCTCGCAGTTCAAATCCGGACGATGCATAACCGCGCTCCACCGTCCACGGCATCACTCCACCCGCAGCGCGCAGGCCCAGCTTCAAAGACGTGTAACGTTACTTTTGACTCCCGCATAGTTTTGACAACCGCCACGTGTGTCATAACAACGCAGAGGCGGGAGGGGGGGGGGGGGAGGAAAAATCCAGCACAATGCGGCCAAAATTATGCACCCACGGCAGTATACATGAAACAGTAAAGAAATATTTTACTGGCGCAATAGGCAAGCAATTCTCGACCGTTGTTAATGCTTAAAATACGCTGATTACTTACTCTAGAAATAGGTGATGACTGGCTGTCACTGGTTTGCAAAATTGCTGGCTAATAAGCCATCAGGAAGTGAGACACTGCATGCAGGAGTCCCAGCACCCCACAAGCTCAGTACAGTCCCAGACCCACATACACTGACGTAAACATGTGCTGTACGCCGGTTGCTCCGTCACGACAACGTACACACTACTGTACACTACGCTACGCACATGCACACCACACACCACTGCACTCTTGCAATGATATGCCGACTGTAACCCGACTGTAAGCCCACAGTTCCCACGGAAGAATACGATACGGACAATCGTGCACGCACCTGTGTTCTTGCTGTTTCCCTCGGTGAACGACACCTCCTTAATGTTGGCCATTGGAGGGTTTAATCTCATTTGTTTGACAGGCGAGAGCGGTACTCTCGCCGACGGACTAGAGTCATCTTCTAGGAAGCAGTCCGAAAAACCTGAGATGGGTCATGAACGCGATGTAGTCAACAACAAAGGGAACTAGGAACAGATGAGCGAGGAGATACGGAGGGAGAATGACTTCAATGCTTCGCTGCCGTGTCAACAGAGATTTATTTATACGTGGCAAACCGAGGCTTCAGCGCGTCCCGGACACCTTTACATAAGGTAAACCGCACAAAACCCAAAGCGAGCCAACATATCTGCGGGACCATAGGCTTGGCGACGAAAAGCCATGCGGGACTAGTGGCGGAGCTGGGCAACCATTCACTCAGACCCCAAACAGTCTGTGTGCAGAGGCCCGCAGGCTGCGGAGCGGCTGGAGACTGACCAGCGACAGAGTCCAGTCTGAGCAGACCCAGCGAAGACTGCTCGGACGCTGGAGACCGCCCGGACACCAGCGTACTGTCCCCGTTCGGGTCGACATTCTCCATGGCTCGCGCCTAGTCACCACGCTGAAAAGGAACAATATCACGCACACGCCGGCGCATTGTGTATGCATGCAAGCGGGTCAGTGACAAAATTCAGCTCAACAAAAAGTTTTCAAGTTTCCGTTGCAAAACACAGTTTTCAGCACCATGAAATTCCGCATCATCGAGACATCGGCCACAATGCCATTTTGTTCTGACGGCAACATGGATTACAGTTCCCCTGCCATGAAACGACCACTGCTCTGCATTAATCGGACATCGGCCCACGCTGCATTACAAATTTTGCAGAATGATTACTGCATAGTGAGCTCCTGACAAAATCGAGGACAGCAAACAAGTCAAGGAAATATGCCAAACTTTACATGCCTTCAAGGATTCAAATACAGTGAATCAAAAACACAAGAGAAAGCGAACCTGAAGGCATAGACAGACAAGATGTTCCAAAATGTAAATTCTAACAACAGTTGCCTGTTGACTGAAAATGTTCACTTCATCAAAATTAACATCTGTGAACTCTTTTCAAAAGCTAATAGCAGTTAAATTCAACCCATTGATCAGTTAAATTTCTCAAATGCTTCCCAGTTCCTCATTTTGACACCTGAGACCTCTTCAAAAGGTGAGAATATCTGAATCTGTCATTTACTGTCCAATTTTTGTATTCACCTCCTATGCTCAGCTAAGCATGCACGATGCATTTTACGTCTGTATATCTACTCTGAAAGGGTGTAACCTGACCCTCTGAAAGGGTGTAACCTGACCCTCTGAAAGGGTGTACTCTGAAAGGGTGTACTCTGAAAGGGTGTACTCTGAAAGGGTGTACTCTGAAAGGGTGTACTCTGAAAGGGTGTACTCTGAAAGGGTGTAAGAGTTGACGGTTCACTGCAATTTGGAATTCCAATGCCACAGTGGTCAGATTCTAATTTGAATTGAAATTCGAGATTTGAACATACGAATAGTTCTATGGAAGGATTCGACGAGGTATCAGCGTCGCGATAGAATGAATTGTTCGGACCTTGTCTGGTGTGTCACTATGTGCACAATGTCTCAGCCAGGTAATGCTCCGGCGGTTACCAGGTGCCATGGAGTCCTGGGAAGGACTGGATGATATCTAGTCCCAGCAAAGGTGAATGATACACTCAAATGAAATTTGCCTGAAGAAAGTTAGTATTTTTCAAAGTTGGTGGACATAAGCCTTATGCCATTAAACGCCAGCCCTGTGCAGTACCAGCATCAGCCTGGCCAAGTATCAGCCCTGCAGCAGTGCCAGTCAGCCTGGCCAAGTGCCAGCCCAGCAGCAGTGCCAGTCAGCCTGGCCAAGTGCCAGCCCAGCAGCAGTGCCAGTTAGCCTGGCCCAGTGCCAGCCCAGCAGTGGTGCCAGAGTCAGCTTGGCCCCATGCCAGCCCAGCAGCAGTACCAGTCAGCCTGGCCCAGTGCCAGCCCAGCAGCAGTGCCAGAGTCAGCCTTGCCCAGTGCCAGCCCAGCAGTGCTAGAGTGACCTTGGCCTGATGGCAGCCCAGCAGCAGTGCCCCCCCCCCCCCCCTCCCCCACCTCATACAAAGTCACAGTATGGGCAAGTATGGAGGCTGCACAAGCTGATGCTGCTTCCCATGTGGTTTGTTATAAGGTTATATGATTTAAAATTACATGGGTTGTTCAGTGCAGTAGCAAGGAGCATTATTCACACAGATACAACTGTAACATTAGCCTTGTTCCTCACAAAAAAAAAAACAGGAGAACAGATGTGGTTGGGTTGTTATTTCAGCAACATGCTTTCATTGAAACAATATCAGACTTGTGTTATTGTTTTGATAAAGGCATGCTGCCAAAATATCAACCCAACTATCTCTCCATTCTCCTGGCTCTTCTCCAAGGAATAAGGCTAATACTACTGCCTTGTCTATGTTATGGGATTAATGTTACACACCAAAAGATGGCAGTCATTTCTTTACATAAGCAACCATCAAAACCAAATTTTTACAGCTCTTAAATATCTTTGAGATGAATTACACTGAAATACATACATTTCTCCATTTCCTTTAATAGACATATGAAGCCACATTATATCTTACACCATAGCATGTGCAACCACACCTCAGTTAAGGTAGACAAAAATCAACATTCCAGGTGCTTGTCCAGGATTACAGGGGCTCAGAGGCATTTTGACTCAGTTTGTCTTACATGCCACCAAAGGCCTTGTGCTGAGTTTTCCTAAATGTTAGGGGGGGGGGGGGCTGAAGCCCCAAAGCTCTTCCATGATAATCAAATAGTTCCTATGGCTATAGACAAAACTGAAACAGGCCATGGCTAAGTCATTGTTCAGACATCCATATTGGTCAAACTACTAAGCATCATATCATCATGTAGCAAAACAGTACCCTGCACAGCAGCAGGCATATCAAATGGCATCTGACAAGCGTGGACCCAAACACATCAACAATGTGTCATGAACTCATGGGTACTGACCATCTTCATTTAAATCCCAGGCCAAGGAGAGCTTTCCTTGCTTTCCTTCTGTAAGCACTCAAACAGTTGTAACCACCACAGTCTGCAAACCATGGCAAATCCTGATGATATCTCATTGGGGCAGAAGTTCAGCACATCTCCCAATTTGGGGAAGTTCATCAAAATTTTGTAGCACATCTTTTAAATGAACATTGAGACCATTTTGCATTATTCCAAAATGAAACTGGTAATATGATCAGAAATTACCAAATGTGATGATAAATCATGTCTCTGGAGTAAGAAACATTAACAAAATCAGCCCTGAATGGCAAAGTTTCCTATCCTATTTGGGGCAGGATCCTGCCTGTCCCAAATATCTTATTAGCATGTTTCCCATGGTTTGCAGACTGGACTGCTCTGGACACCATTCTAATATGCTGGACAGATAAGTACAACCCCTCAACCGCGCACCCGGACCCTCTGTCACAACCAGCCACGGCCCTTTCTCCGCCGGACCAGGTCGAAAGCTTTGAATCGTAGCCACAGAAACGAAAAGGGCGGGCACCAAGGATAAGCGGAACCGTGCCTGTGCGCCGCTATTTCACTGCATTAATCCGCTGCCATAATCTACTTCAACGATTGTTCACAGAAACACATGAGATGACCAAAATTGCAATGTAACTATGCGCAACAAGGTATACGATATATGACACTGCCGGCCAGCACATTACTAGAATAAATGGTAAATACTGAGAGGCCTATTTCATCCCGCTATCCACCATGTTCAGGCAACCTTACGGGGTATTAGTTCTTTCTGTATTGCAACTAATCATGTTGATGGCGTCGTGACCTGAAGCCAATATTGGCTTCACTTATGGCCATCAAAGCCACACCTATAAGCCATCAAAATAAGTGTGGCTCACATTCAAGCCGGCCGTACGCTTTAGAAATGTCACAACTTTCCGAATTTTGTGTGAATTTTGCAGAACACTTACTGTCATGATAAAATATATGGGTCATAAACCATGCTGTTAATGGTAGGAGCTATTGGCACTAAATTTAGCCCATTTAATAATTTGGAATCCAATTAAAATAAGCGTTTCACACCATAACGACGTCATGGGCAGCGCTTTAAGGAGGCGGAGAAACCCTTTGGCATTGCCGTCAATACAAGCAACCCTGGCCGCGGTCCTTCCTTGGAAAGCGGGGTGTTGTCATCGCGGGGTGCGGGTATGTCCTGAGGCTCAGGGGGTGTTTAGGAGACCCGGTGTGTTTGAGCGACAGTGCGGGCATTTTAACAGATTGTGCCCTGATTTCTAGCTCTTTGGCAAAATCGGCAGTGTGACGGCAACTTGCTTGCGGCATTTGCGATTATATTTGATCTGCGTCGCATTAGCCGACAACAATGGCATCCGGGACAGCTTTACAGAAGGCTATAGACTTGGTTACCAAAGCCACAGAAGAGGACAGAAACAAAAATTTTGAGGAAGCCCGTAGGCTGTATGAGCATGGTGTAGAATATTTTTTGCACTCACTGAAATATGAGGCTCAGTCAGAGAAAGGCAAAGAAAGCATTCGGGCCAAATGCATCCAGTACATTGAGAGGGCCGAAAAGTTGAAGGAATATCTGAAAAAGAAGGAGGGAAAGTCAGAGAAGAAGCCTGTTAAAGATGGTGGCAAAAAGGAGGATTCTGACTCTGACTCAGATGAAGACCCAGACAAGAAGAAGATGCTTTCAAAGCTGGAAGGGGCTATTGTGATGGAGAAAAACTTGAATGTGAAGTGGGCAGATGTTGCTGGACTGGATGCAGCCAAGGAGTCTCTGAAGGAAGCTGTCATCATGCCCATCAAGTTCCCTCACCTATTCACCGGCAAGCGCAAGCCCTGGAAGGGTATCCTCCTGTTTGGCCCACCAGGCACTGGCAAGTCGTACCTAGCAAAGGCTGTGGCCACAGAAGCATCCAACTCAACATTTTTCTCTGTCTCATCCTCAGATCTTGTTTCAAAGTGGCTGGGTGAGTCTGAAAAGCTGGTCCGCAACCTGTTTGAGCTGGCCAGAGAGCACAAGCCATCCATCATATTCATAGATGAGATTGATTCACTGTGCTCATCTAGGTCAGACAATGAGTCCGAGTCAGCCAGGAGAATCAAGACTGAGTTCCTGGTCCAGATGCAGGGAGTTGGAAATGACACAGATGGCATCCTTGTGCTGGGAGCCACCAACATCCCTTGGGTTCTGGATGCAGCCATCCGCAGACGTTTTGAGAAGCGGATATACATCCCGCTGCCCGAGGAGCCTGCCAGATCCACGATCTTCAAGATCCATCTGGGAAACACTCCTCATCAACTGACTGAACAGGACTTCAGAATCCTTGGAGGCAAGACCGAAGGCTTCTCCGGCGCCGACATCAGCATTGTGGTGCGTGATGCCCTGATGCAGCCAGTGCGCAAGGTGCAGACTGCCACTCACTTCAAACGGGTGCGGGGTCCGTCCCGATCTGACCCGAACGTCTTTCTGGACGACCTGCTGACGCCCTGCTCTCCTGGCGATCCCGGAGCCATGGAGATGTCCTGGATGGATGTCGACGGTGAGAAACTGCTGGAGCCTGTCGTCAGCATGAACGACATGCTGAAGTCAATCGCCACCTCCAAGCCCACGGTGAATGACGAAGACCTGAAGAAGGTTGAGAAGTTCTGCGAAGACTTCGGAATGGAGGGTTGAACCCGGTCCTGGCGGGCTGTGGCCGCCTCAATCACCACTTGTCTGGAGGGTCGTAAGTTTATTTCACTGGGGCCTGTGTAACAACTGTCTCACTAGTGGCACTTGTATTTCGGCGACTTTGCATTCTGCGGCAATTAGAATGCATGTTGACGTTTTTGTCCTTCTGTCTCCTGAAAAATACGTCCAACTGAAACTCAAGTGAAAGGAGTATATTCAGTTTGTGTTGCCGCAGGCTGGAAAGATGCAAAGACTTACTGATCTGAATGCTGTTGTTGTAAATACCTATCCGTTTTCATTAGTGTCTGTGAAGCATGTCGAAACATTTGGTTTTCAGACTTGCGATCGGGGGCAGCGCCACGATGCCGCTATCCTCGAAAAATGAATGATAGTATAGCCGTTTCCACGGTACAGATTGATTGCATTTGGTATAGGCCTTATGCATGCATACATAGTGGGGTTTAAGCCAGCTTAGTCTGTTAAGCAATGCTGGGCTGGTCCTGGAATCAATTTCTGGGAAGTTGTGCTTGTGCCGTGTGTCTAACCGTTATTGCATCAGAATCACTGCGATGTAGTTTTGCTGTCCTGCTTTGAACACGGCAATGGTTCTGAGAACGTGCCTGACCTAGCTGCTGAGGGATGGATCCAAATAAATTAAAGACTTATCTCTGAATGAGTTTTTTAATACCAGCTGACCCAAGGCGCAAGGGCAGGCGTAGCTATGGCACGCAGTGTTGGGAAGAAAACCCCAAGCATCACCGATGCTTTTGGAACATCTCTGATGCTATTGAAGGTGTGTATTCCATGTAATGGTGTGCCAGGAACGTGCAGTTTTGTGAATAATGCGGGTGCACGCGGCGTCCCGCGGCGCTGCGTGGGGCGGCTCGGTCGCGTTGGCCACGCTATCACCCAGCCGAGAATTCCGAAGTCATCCCACCAGCCCGTCAGTGCGACGTTCTAACGGCGCATAACCGTGTGCTGAGCTGAAAACTCTTCCTTCGCTTTTTGAACATGTGCATTTGTTTGCAAATCATCGCGCACTCAACCCTAATCATAAACCGCTGTGCATTGTCTGCAGGCAAGCGGCGGCGCTATGGCCAACCCTGCCTCGGGCGAAGGCAGGTCCCGTCCCTCTCCGGCTTTCGCTTTGTTCGCTGCAACGGTCTGCAGCAGGTCGCTGAAATATTTCCCCAACATTGTTTTTACATACCGGGTTGTAATGTAGGTGGGTGGCATGCGCAGGGATGGTTCCAGGGCCCCGCGCCAAGAGGCGCATGCGTGAATTTGGTGGTGGTGGTGGTGATCTGGTGTTTTAGGCTGCGTCGGCATCGGGTCCATTTTGCGTCCACAACCCGTGAATTTGGCAATCATGCCGGAATGCGATGACGTAGTTTCGCAAAATGAGTTGGAGGGGAGAGGGGGTGGGAGGGGCAGTGCCTGAACGGTGAAAAATGGGGAAAATCTCCGCAAAACACGCCAAAGGGTGTCCTCCCGATTTGGTCCAATACCTTTTCAAAGTCGATGGGAGCTCAGGTGGAGGAGAGGGCTGAAGCCCTCCCCCCCAACTGAAAGAAAACCGCACCCTGCCTCGATGGTGATCTGTTCGGGTCATACACACTGCCCTGCGTTTATTAGTTACAGGGATAACTGATACTTGTGGTGAGTACGACAGCTGAAAATTAGAACTGTGCAATGTAACAAATTGAGCATGGTGAGGCGGCTCCATAGATTGAAACATGTAGTTTCCAAACGGCGTAACGTGCATTTCAGGTTGTCAATGCAGGTGTATAAGGGATGCTTCTCGGTGTCTAGATGCAGTGCTTCGCACTTCGCGACGATATTAACAGTTGTCACGCAAACACCCACCCACACCCACACGCCCGCACCCACACCCACACCCACACCCACACCCACCAATCCCCACACTTGCCCCCCACCCCCACCCCCACCCACACGCACGCGCGCGCGCACGCACGCACGCACGCACGCACGCACGCACGCACGCACGCACGCACACACACACACACACACACACACACACACACACACACACACACACACACACACACACACACACACACACACACACACACACACACACACACCACACACACACACACACGCGCGCACTATATGCACGTTCGATCAAAAATGACTGCTGACTCAGCATTGATGGGGTTTATGTACATTATTCTAGGTGCCGGACTTTTGAGATCGAATTGTCGTTTAGATTAAAGATGGTTGGAACGAAATCACTCACACATTCGTCACACTTTACATTCTTACGTTTCGAGATCTTATCTCATCGTCGGAGAAGACTGAATGGCACAAAACATAAGTTTTGAGTTTGAAAGGATACAAATTGGGCACCGCTATTGGCAAACATCCTTTGGTACTGAGAACACAGATGAGGCATGACTAAATAAAATAAGACAGAATTCTATTTTCACTTTGATGCATATAAGAAACAATCATGATAGGAATATTACAAAGACACACGCATATTGCCACAATCACATCGATAGCACCCACCACACACCACCTAATAATTCAAGGGTTGTACAAATTTTCTCTTGTTTAAGGCGGGAGCTTTGTCAATGAATATACGTTCTCAACTTTGAAGGTGTCTTCCGTCATTGCATGTCCGTAAAATATCAGTTGTTGTGTCCATATCCTGACGCGTTCATGTCGCATGTGGTCCAAAGGTTCCCCGTCAAGTAAGTGAATTGTCAGGCGTCATGAAAGTGTCATTGTGGTCACACCAGTGCAGTGTACGGAACAAAGTTTGCAGCCATAGGTGTT